TCAGAAGCAAGCCTGGTTGGGTGCCCTTATAGCAAGCTACTTGCTTTAAAGGCACTCGGCAGAAGGGAGGGGCCAGGAGCATAGGCAGAGGACCCAAGAAAAGGAGGATTGGGACTGCTCTGTGTAAACCACTGCACAGAGCAGGTAAGCATAGTTGTTTTTAATTGCACTTTAATGTTCAGATCTAGGTGGTTGCTGGGGGATATACATGTGCCGTTCATTTCATTCTGAATTGAAATTCTGACAAAATTTTCATTAATCAGAGATTCAGATGTATCGGAATGTTCGAATTGTAACGAATTTAAATAAATCTGAAATAACGTAATAAAATTTCATCCAAAATAGCGAATTATCCAAATTTAAATTGAATTATAAAATGAAATTGAATTTGAAAACAAATTTGAAATATAAAACATACTGCTGACTATTGCTCATTTGCTGACTATTTCCATTTCCTGTATGTATTAGTGTTACTATAGCTGTCTTCCAAAATTTGAAAAGAATAGAATAAAACAGAATAGAATATAAAAGAATAGAGTAACACAGAATAGAATAAAAAATATAAAAATAGAATAGAATTGAATAGAAAAGATTAGAATAGATATAGCTGTCATCCAAAATTGAAATTTCGAAAAGAATAGCATAAAACAAGATAGAATAGAAAAGAATAGAGTAAAGCAGAATAGAATAGAACAGCAAAGAACATAAAAGAATAGAGTAAAACAGTATAGAATAGAAAAGAATAGATATAACTGTCATCTGAAAATCTAATTTTGAAAATAGAGTAAAACAGGATACAATAGAAGAAAGAATAGAATAAAGAAGAACAGAATAGAAAATACAAGAATGGTATAGAATTTAATAGAAAAGAATAGAATAGGATATAGCTATCTTCCGAAATCCACATTTCAAAAAGAATAGAATAAAACAAGATAGAATAGAAAAGAATAGTGTAAAACAGAATAGAAAACAGAAAAATATAATAGAATTGAATAGAAACGAATAGAATAGATATAGCCGTCATCCGAAATTCAAATTCTGAAAAGAATATAATAAAAAAAGGATAGAATAGAAAAGAATAGAGTAAAGCAGAACAGAATAGAACAGTATAGAACATAAAAGAACAGCATAAAAAAAAAATACAATAGAAAATACAAGAAAATAATTGAATAGAAAAGAATATAATAGAACAGGATATAGCTGTCTTCCGAAATTCTAATTTTGAAAAGAATAGAATAAAACAGGATAGAATAGAAAAGAATAAAGCATAATAAAATAGAAACCGAATAGAACATAAAAGAATAGAGAAAAACAGAATACAATAGAAAATACAAGAATAGAATAGAATAGAATTGAAAAAAGAAAAGAGTAGAATAGATAAAGCCATCTTCTGAAATTCAAATTTCAAAAAGAATAGAATAGAATAAAACAGATAGATAGAAAAGAATAGGGTAAAGCAGAATAGAACAGAATACAACATAAAAGAATAGCGTAAAACAGAATAGAAAAATACAAAGAATAGAATAGAATTGAATAGAAAAGAATAGAATAGATATACCTGTCTTCTGAAAATCAAATTTTGAAAAGAATAGAATAAAAAAAACAGGATAGAATAGAAAAAAAAGAGTAAAGCAGAATAGAATAGAACAGAATACAACATAAAAGAATAGCGTAAAATAGAATAGAATAGAAAATACAAGAATAGAATAGATTTGAATATAAAAGAATAGAATAGATATATCTGTCTTCTGAAAATCTAATTTTGAAAAGAATAGAATAAAACAGGATAGAATAGAAAAGAATAGAGTAAAAGCAGAATAGAACATAAAAAGAATAGAGTAAAAAACAGAATAGAATAGAAAATACAAGAATAGAAAAGCATTTAATAGAAAAGAACAGAATAGATATAGCCGTCTTCTGAATTTTAAATTTGTAAAATAATAGAATAAAACAGAATAGAATAGAAAAGTAGAAAAGCAGAATAGAATAGAACATAAAATAATAGAGTGAAACAAAATAGAATAGTAAATACAAGAATAGAATTGAATAGAAAAGAATAGATATAGCCGTCTTCTGAAAATCACATTTTGAAAAGGATAGCATAGAATAAAACAGGATAGAATAGAAAAGAAAAGAATAGAGTAAAGCAGAAGAGAATAGAATAGAACAGAAAAGAATAGAGTAGAATGGAACAGAAAATAATAGAATAGAACAGATGAGAAAAAATAGAATAGATTAGAATAAAATTGAAGCCATATAGCCATCTTCCGAAATTGGAGCAGAATAAAACCAGCTTTATTTCACAATGAATTCAGATTGCTTCGATATTTCCGATTCGAATACTTTGAATCCATTGGAGAAATTCGATACCGATCGAAAACGAATAAAAAACCAAAATGTAACAAAATTACTGTAGTAAGTTTCGGAATGGATGGGATTTCTTCGTTGGGCACGTCTACTGAGGCTTTTCCGGATCTAAGGCAGGAATCCCAGCTCCAGCCAGTGCTGGTGGAAGAATGAGGAGAGCAGATGAGTGCAGTGCAGCATGCAGCCCCATGGCCCTCCTGATCCCAGAGGAAGCTCAGGCCGAATGGGAAGCTCCCTATGTGCCTCCAGTCCAGGAGCTGTCAATCTGTGCTGCTCCCTCCCCATCTGAGGCCATGCATGCAAATGTTTCCATGTTCTTCCCAGTAACAATGTGCTCATCACTCTCCTCCCACTGAAATAATGCATCACTCTGGGTGTTTCCACTGGTGATTTTTATGTAACAAAATGCAGAAATGTGACATTTCAGGAACACGGTTGCATTGCCTTTTTTTCTCCCTATGAAATGTGTTCGGTAAACAGTGACAGGCGGCGGAGGCACTGCAATGTGCAATCATTGGTGCACAGCTCCACCGCATCCTGAACGCACCCCCACGTCCTGCACCCCGAGCCCCCCAACCTCGGGGAGGGCCAAGGTGTGATGGCTGAGGGAGCCGCAGCAGGTAGGTGAGGGGCTGCCTGACGTGCCCTCATTCAGACACCAGTGGGCTGCTGTTGCTGGGAGAGACTGTGCTGCTGCGACAGGGGAGGATGAAGCGAGCAGCCCAAGGAAGCGCACAGCGCATGCGCCGTCCGAGCCACTGACTATATTCTCAGGCTAGGTACCTAAGGAAAAAAAAAAAAAAAAGCATTTTTATATAAAGAAGAAGCTGCACTGCAAAAATACCCTGCTCAGGATTGTGGAGCAACAACAGGTAGGAGCATTTACTCTTCCCTTTCTGGGTGAGCTGGGGAATGGCATGTTTATGGTGGCTGGGCGACCACATCGTTATTGGGCATCATGAGAGTTGCTGTTTTTTGTGCTGATAGAGAGCACAATAGGAGCATACATGGAGCAAGCTCCCAAATATGACTGGGCTCTGCCTGGGGGAAGGGAGCTGCATTCCTCCCATCATGGAAAACCTAACAAAGGGACCTCTCCTACCAGCAGCTCCAACCAACAACCACATACATACATATGTGTCTTCTTCCATCAATGTGCTGCCCATACATGTACAGCTGTGCAGGATGGATGGATGGATGGATGGCCATGGAGACATAGGGATGTGTGTGTGTAGAGAGAGAGCTATGGAGGCTGATCAATCATATAGATAAAAACTGATCACTTAAATAGATAGAGGCTAATCATTTATATAGATCAAGGCATGATCATTCATATATAAATAAATGCTGATCAATTGTATATATAAAGACTGGTCATTTATATAGCTAAAGGCTGATTATATATATATATATATATATATATATATATACACACAATCATTTATGTATATCAAGGCTGATCATTTATGTAGCTAGAGGCTGATCTGATCATTGATATATATAAAAGACTGATTGTGTGTGTGTGTACAATACACATATATATATATATATATTGATCATGTATGTATTTAAAGACTGATCATTGCTATAAATAAAGGCTGATGACTCATTACAGCTAATAAATACAAGATAAGCCAAAATCCAAAGCCAGAAAGGCAGGTTTCCTTGCCCTCTGGAATCAAAGGGGAGCAGAGAAATAGTTGCAATGATTCACATAAATAATGGAGCCTGTTCTATTATACGGCTAGCTGTGCAAGAGCCATTCAGCTCCAATAGGTTATCCCTTATTCTTTCATAGAAATACTGGGGGTGTTGCAACAATACATGAAGCAAAATAGGATTTTACCACCCCCCCCTGTTTCCCCCATAATATGTTGACATTAATATAGGATAAAAAGAGATCCTATAGTGAGAGCTGCTATCAAATGTGGGGTGTATTTTTACTAGTGATACAAAGCAATTAAAAAAACTGGTTGGGGGGGGAGGGGGGTGGATGATGATTCCCACAGTCCATATTCATCTCAAGAAAGATGGACGAAATTGTCATTCTTGTGTAATGGCCATAGCCTTAGCCTGTCTATGTAGTGTATGTATCTGTGTGATTTATATGGGTGTGTATCTGCTACAAAATGGTAGATCTTAGGGTATTCTCTCTCTATCTATATATCTATCTATGTGTCTATCTATCTATCTATCTATCTATCTATCTATCTATCTATCTATCTATCTATCATCATGAACCCAGATGCAAGTATATATCACTATAAATCAGAACACACTACCACCCTTTGTTCCTCGTGGTATAAGCTGTAATAATACAAAGTTTAAAAACAAATGCTAGTACTAGAATGTGACTGCTTTTCTGTACTCCATAAATTAACATTCTTATGTTAGCACCTTCTCACATCATTACTTGCTAGCCTAAAACTGATAGCTTATGTTTTTTTTTTTTTCTTCAGATCTCTTGACAGCATGACACATCAGGAGGAGGAAAAAGCAGAATGTGTGCCTAGACACCCAGCTCAGTTAGTTTTGTGGATTACATTTGCAGTAAAATGTATGGATCTATCCTGTGCTTGCCCTTGTATATAGACCATGAGACTTGACTGAAGCAATAAATATATCCTCCATCTATGGCGAACGATAGCCATGCAGCTGACAACATTCTGCAAAATGTGTCTCCTTTAACAGCGTTTTTAAAGTTGACATCATTGGGCTTTATTATAGGAGTCAGTGTGGTGGGTAACCTTCTTATCTCAATCTTGCTTGTCAAAGATAAGACCTTACACAGAGCTCCCTACTACTTCCTGTTGGATTTGTGTTGCTCAGACATCCTGAGATCTGCTATTTGTTTTCCATTTGTATTCACTTCCGTGAAGAATGGCTCTACTTGGACTTATGGGGCTCTTACTTGCAAAGTGATTGCCTTTCTTGGGGTGTTGTCTTGTTTTCACACTGCATTCATGCTATTCTGTATAAGTGTCACCAGATACTTAGCTATAGCCCACCATCGGTTTTACACAAAGAGGTTGACATTTTGGACTTGTCTGGCAGTGATTTGCATGGTGTGGACCTTATCGGTAGCTATGGCCTTTCCACCAGTCCTAGATGTTGGCACCTATTCCTTCATTAGAGAGGAAGACCAATGCACATTTCAGCATCGTTCCTTCAGGGCTAATGATTCCTTGGGATTTATGTTACTTCTTGCTCTCATTCTTCTAGCCACACAGCTTGTCTACCTCAAGCTGATCTTTTTTGTTCATGATCGAAGGAAAATGAAGCCAGTCCAGTTTGTAGCAGCCGTAAGCCAGAACTGGACTTTTCATGGTCCTGGAGCCAGCGGTCAGGCAGCCGCCAACTGGCTTGCGGGCTTTGGAAGGGGTCCCACACCACCCACTTTACTTGGAATAAGGCAAAATGCAAACACCACGGGCAGGAGAAGGCTACTGGTTTTAGATGAATTCAAAATGGAAAAAAGAATCAGTAGAATGTTCTATATTATGACATTCCTTTTCCTGACCTTATGGGGGCCCTATTTGGTAGCCTGTTACTGGAGAGTGTTTGCAAGAGGTCCTGTGGTACCAGGAGGATTTCTAACAGCAGCTGTCTGGATGAGTTTTGCCCAAGCTGGAATCAATCCTTTTGTCTGCATTTTCTCAAACAGGGAGCTGAGGCGCTGTTTCAGCACAACCCTTCTTTACTGCAGAAAATCCAGGTTACCAAGGGAACCTTACTGTGTTATATGAGGGAGCATCTGCAAAATCTTTTAGCCTTGTGAAACACTATCCTTCTCTGCTAAGCAATTGTGGCCTGTAGCCATGTCTTGAGAAGAAGATCAAGAATGGAGCGTAAGCAGCATTGTGCACACTTTGCAATAGCGCACCTGTAATCCTATTTTATTCTAAAGTGTTCCTGCTGGCCACCAGGGAAGGTTTGTAATTGAAAACAAAAGGACTGAACCACGGTTTTCTTGTGTTCCTGTGGTTGAAAGCTAGATCTTACAAAAAAAAAAAAAAATGACAGGTGCTAGGAGCCACTGCTGAATGCTGTGTATATCACCACATATTAACAAGAACACCCCAGAAAAAGGTTAGCATTGGACATCTTAATAAATTGAATTGAGGTAAATATGTTAATAAACATGCTTTTAAGAGTTGGAAGACTCTTTGATATTTAATACAGTTTGGGGTTTCTTTTGCAATGATTAACAAGTGGGAATTAAAATGTACTGTAACTGATAAAGGATGTGCCATGCATTTCTGGATTGTCGTACTGAGGGATTTCCTTACCTTGTAAGTCAGTACTGGGGAGCATTCCAAAGCAGTATTTTTTGGTTAAAAATTATATTCTACTTTTTCAAGTATTCTTTCTATAAAAAGGAGGTTTTCTTTAACAGTGTAAAGAGCATTTCAATGTATTCTGTGTTTTTGTTTTATTTTTTCCTTTGCTCTCTTTATTTTTTTTTACTTTGTTTTTGGTTTTATTTGGCAAATACGGATTGAATTCTTGTTAAAAAAAAAAAAAAAAAAAAAAAGAAAACCTAGCTGTCGATCTGTTTGGCAACGTAAATCTGATTTCCAGTATGAACAGATCTACTTATGGAGCACTCATATTAATACTGAATAAATACATGTTGCCTTAAAGGGTTATCTAGTATCTTCCATTTTGTTTAATTTTGAAACCAATTCAGTTGGTAACTCGAGTCTGTCATATGGGAGTGCATGAAAGAACGATGCAAGCCCCTCTTTCTTTTAACTCCTATTGTTCCCAAAATCAGTATGCACATCACCTAGCTGAGATCAGCTTGCCAGATCCAGATGTGCTGCCCATTCTGCTTCACCTTAAGAGACACAGGCAGTGGAGTATGTTTATATTTTAATTGAGCTGTCTTGAAGAGACTGAAGCCTTGGTATGATATTTTGCACAGTTTGGGAAGCATTTATTCTACTGAAGGCACAGTCTTCTTTATACTTTCTGCACATTTTTGGTGTATTGGTTGTTTAAATTATTTCCTTTCTTTTTTAATTCTTGTAAAAACATATAATTTTTAGCATTCTAGAATAACATTATAGTCTGTGAGTCTTTCATTCTTTAAGATACAGATGTGTGTGGAATTGAAATATAAAGTTGCATTTGCCAAACTTTTCCTGTGTAGCTTGTTAATTTTTTCTGGAATAAAATTTTACATTTTTCCAGTTCGGCAACTAACCTTATTTTGTAGTGATCTGGAGTGAACTAGTGAGAGTGTGGATATTGAATTTTCTTTTTCGTAATTATTGCATTCAGAAATGATAAACATATGATTGATGGACGTTGCAATACGTTTGTTATATTTACAATTTACAGCCCTTTTTCTTTACACTGACCAATATTTCATTCTGGCATGATACATATTGGGTATTAAAGCAGGTTGTGTTTTCCAGTTTTGCTTTTATTACAGAGAAAAGGAATGAAAAGGGTGCCAAGGGATATACCATAATGTATTTGTTAGTAGGTCACCTGTACCAACCTAAATGTAGGTTATTGTCATATTTTATCTTAATACATTTCATGCTATATATCATACCATTTACAAAGTATGAAATAATGATGGCTACATTTTACATACCTTAGATAAATAAATAGACACACCTATGGACATGTCTGTGAATGCTTGACCAAGTCTGAAATAGTTACATAATCACAGATAGTGGGCCTCCTTGTTCAAAAGTGTCTTGAAGAAGTGTCTTTCTTACCCCAGTGCAACCAATCACATTAATTGAAGACTATTTTATTCATTAGTCATTTGAAAATGAGAGCAAGAATCTGATTACTGCTTAGAACAGACAGTTCTTCTCTAAAATGTGATTTATTTTTTTAGTGTCAAATGAAACTGATTTAATTCTTTCATAGAGTATATACCATGTTTTATAGGCCAAGGCTGAAAGTTAAACACTGAAGGCCTCTTATCTAGATGTATGATTCTATTTTTTTATTTTACAATTTCATACCATTATTGTATATTTATGCAGTAGAATGTTGCTTTTGCTTCAAAGATTTTTGTGTTTCTTCCTTAATGAGAAATGAAGGTTGCACTGAGCATTACTGTGGGCCAGGGGAATGGTCACTGTGATAAGTATTCACAAAGACAAATCTCATGCCAGCCAGGCTTTCTTAATAAGGCAGTGTAGAGATGCACTATAACCCAGAGCAGCCAGTTGGCTCTTACCATAATCAGAACAATGAAAGATGGTTTCTGAAAGGTTGCTATTGGTTACTGTACTTTGCGCATTGCTCTTTGTTTATACAATAACATTCAGTGATATGTGTTTTACCAATGTGTTTAATATTTATATAGTTAGGTAGTTTATATCATTTATTTGTTCTTTTGGTATAAATGCCTTTTTTGGTATGGAGTCAATCCTGGCAGCAACAGGTCTTTATTGATCTTACCATCAGAAAGACAGGAAACATGATACAAACCTATTTAGCAGTTAAATCAGATAACTATGATGCAGACAAGCTCTTGATGGCCCATATCATCCTAGAGCCCCATGTAGCTGCCAACTTCCTTCCTGGATTGTGCATGTGCACCTAATAGCCTATGAATGTAACAGTTGTCCCCTGATATGTCATTACATTGGGTGTGCCTTCTACCTGGCAAGTTTTACATTTTCAGAGCTGTAAAAATAGAGAGGAATGCAATGTAAATGGTTGTGGGTGCAGATATAGAAGAGTTTTGCAATTGAAGCAGGAGGGAATCCCCAGAGCAAAGTCAAACCATAGGAGGACTTCAGTTACTTTATTTGCTCAAAAAATGTGCATTTGCAGAGATAGGCAGGTACCCCGTTTTTTTTTAGGATAATGACAGTGACCAGTGGTTGCTGCAACTGCTTATAAGGACGTTTTCTTTAAGAAAGGACCATAGCCCGTAATGTACCCACAACAAATGAGTGCAGTAGAGATTATGCTACAATGAGCTTCGTGAACAGAAGTATAAAAGGGATACATTTTTTGTCTACCAGTTAATCAGGTGCACCTTTTTATTCTTGAATGGAGAGTATGATTTGATGGCTTTGGCAATACAAAACACAAGATCACCCCAGTTTTGGATAGAGAATGGAAGGGTTAAAACCCTGTAAGATTATTTATTTATTTGTTTTTGCTGTCTTTGTACCAATAGAGAAATCTCCCTTGACTTCCTGTCACAGGAATGCAACAGGAAGTAAAAGAAAATGTGAGAGGAATGCCCCTCTTAGACAGTTGTCATCTGACTATGTGTAGGTCTCCATTGGAAGATTCACCCAGATTTTTTGTTCCAGTGTCAACTATTTAGATTTCCCATCACTTTCTGTCTCAGTAACAATGGCCACCAGGACAAATAGAGGTTATTTCCTCTTTTGGGACACAAACATCAATAAAAACTTCACCGGGATTATAATCATTATTTATATGGCTATGACTACGGATTTGTAGCTGAAATATCTGTAAACCACCTTCATTAATAAATTCATTTCCCTATGGATAACGAGTTGCCGGCTATACATTTTGACTTCATAATCCTTACCTACTCCATTAAAATAAAACAGCTTTGCCCGTGTGTAAAATGTTAGTTTAATTTAAGGTATTACTAAAGGCAATGTGTTATTTTTGAATGGAATGGAGTGGTAAGGGGTTAAAAACACTGTCAGCATTTTATTGCTTTCTGTGCCCCTGTTCAGTTCTGATCACGAATGTCACTCGGAAGAAAAGTGAGGGTTAATTCAAACTTTTGAATTGTCACTAGAACAGAAATAGGGGACATCTTCCAAAGTGGACACTTGTTCCCGTGTCAACTGTCGAAGAAGGGATTTCCCTCACATTGGAAAAATATCCTCTCACTTTCTGTTGAGTCTACAGGACAGGAAGACCATTGTTATATATAAACACACTCGCCTATAAAAATATATTAGAGGGTAAAATAGATTATACAGTATTATGGTTTTACTTACGCTTTTTTTTTACAGGAAGTGAAGGAAAATGTTCCTAATATGATACAGATAGCCAAAAATGAGCCAGTGGTATAAACCCCTTGGCACCAACGTAACACAAATATGCGGCCTTGCTTTTGCTCCCAGCAAAAAGACCAGGGTGTCACTGAGCACCGGGTCCCATTCTCACGATTGGGACACGGGACTCCTTATTCCGGGTCACATGATCGCTGTGATAGCCTCTGATTGGCTATCACAGTGATCAGTCACTGTGAAGCCCGTCCCCCCTTGTTTTGTTTTCTGTCTGAATGGAGGAGAGAGAGACAATGTATCTCTCTCTCTCCTTGCAGAGAGAAAAAAAACAACTGTTTAAAAAAAGATAAATAAATAAATATTAACAAATAAAAGAAAAAATAAAGAAAGAATACCTAGATCAAAGTTTGATCTAGTTCAGTGCCAGGGTTAGTGTTTGGGTAAAGGTCAGGATCAAAGGTCAGGATTTAAAAAAAAAATTTTACATTGATATCAGTGTCAGTTTGTTTTAAGTTACAAAAAAAAAAAAACAATATGCGCACTATTGTTTCTGAGCTGTACTACAGGTGCAAACAACAAATAACAACACATATATGGTATTGTCCTGGAAAAAAAACAAAGTAACAAGAAACACACAGCTAAATTTAAAAAACATTTTTTTTTCACTATTTTGGAGTTTTCCTTTGATAATTTAAAAAAACAGGGGATATATCCATCACTATTTACCACCAAATGAAAGCCCAATGTCCTGAAAAAAAACAAAG